TGGATTCTAAATTTATGACGGATCCTAATATTGTTAAAAATTTTTTTCTCCTAAACTATATTAACCTGGTACTCAAAAGAAGCAGAATAATACGCTTATTTTAAATATAATATTTGTTTTAATTTAAAACTGAAGAAAAAAAAATAATGTTGTTTTTTTCATTAAAAAACTCCCGTCTTCATCAAAACGGGGGTTTTAAGGTATATTTTTGCAAATATTTTTTTCACTAAAAATTTTTTTTTAATAAAATTATTTCTATATAAAAATATAATCCAAAGAGGAACCTCAAGATCTTATCAAAAACTCTTATCTCAGACTTATCTTAACTCAAAAAAAAATCTTATAAAATTTGTGTGATACACCAGGATAATAGTTGTAACAGCAGTAAGAGCAGCAGCAAGTAATAACACCAATAACATAATAAAATAATAGTAGTATAAATAAACTAAATAACAAGTAATAAGCAGTAGTAACAATAAAAACAAAACTTTAGACAACCATGTTTAAAAATATTTATTCAGATTGAAAAAACATTTATAAAAATATCATTTAAATACTTACCATTCCATAACTTTTTTTCGTAAGACTTTTTTCCTCGTTCAAGGATGCTTTTATATTTAGAAATACTTTGTGATAGTCCCAAAATATGAGCAATTTCAATGATACATCGCAAAGCGCTTAACCACAATCCCCCAGTGTATGCACTAGGTAAATTAATTAAACAAATATAAAATTAATCAGCAATTTTTCAAAACAGATTAAGCGAAGTTAAAAAAGAGATTTAGAGGCAATTATAGAAGTTTAAAAAACTGTTCAACATATAGTGACAACCATAGTTTAAATATTGTTTTTAAAATAAACAAACTATTGTGATATTTTTCTTTTAAAATTTTTACAAGAAGCTACTAAACTCAATGGATGAATGTAAATTCTAAACTCAATGGATAGATATAAAATACTAAACTCAATGGATGCAAATGCAACAATTGTTTCTATATAAAGCTGTCTTGTTTATCAAAGCGTGTTAAAGATATAAGATTGAAAGAAGTTTTAATAAAAATCCAATAAAAAAATAAAACCTCGGGCCAGTAACAACCCAAGTGTCAAATGTACTATCTGCTATTCCAGAATTTTCAATAATACCATCACCATCAATGTCTTGGGCAAGCGAATGAGCCATGGCAGCCTATATTCAAACTAAAACATTTTAATTAAACTATATAAAAATGAAATCAGTCTGTAAAAATAACTAAGTATAAATTTAGAAAATGTTCAACCTTCATTGCTGGCCACATGTCCATTAAAAACTGTTTATTTTTTGTAATATAAAAATCTCGGTAGACCTAAAACAATTAACTCAAAATTAATCGAAAACAGATTTAGAAAAATCTTGGGTTTTATAACAAAAATTTTTTTCTCATGTTTTTAGAGTCGCTAGGTATATATATATATATATATATATATATATATATATATATATATATATATATATATATATATATATATATATATTTTTTTTTATTATATGTAAAAATATATATTTATATATATATATATATATATATATATATATATATATATATATATATATATATATATATATATATGTATTATATGTAAAAATATATATTTATATATATATAACTATATATATATATATATATATATATATATATATATATATATATATATATATATATATATATATATATATATATATATATATATGTATTATATGTAAAAATATATATTTATATATATGTATTATATGTAAATATATATATATATATATATATATATATATATATATATATATATATATATATATATATATATATATATATATATATATATATATATATATAAATATATATATATAATTATTGGACAATACATAACTAAATAACAAAAATAACTAGACAAGTACATGCATCTATAGATAAATGTAAAGTCATGCATGTTGGCAAAATAGTGACTGTGAACCTAATGCGGAAGTAAACTTGTGATTTTTTGAATCACAGTAAAAAGGTTTTAAAAAACCACCCTCTCCCAGGCCTCTCAAAGTACTACACTAAAACTATTTATGGCTGTCACACTCAATATAAAAGCAAACATGACGTCACAAGTTTATTAAAAAAAAAAAAGTATTTCTGCATAAAAAGCATAAAAATTGGCTAACTTTAAAATAATTTTTTTTCTCAAAATACTTTCATCTTTAAATAAAAATAAATAAATAAAAGACCTATCTTTACTTGCTAAATAAATATTATGTGGAATAATAATTAACATTGTCAAGATATTTTAAATAATTTAGAAGTATTTTTCTGTTTTTTGCCAAATTCAACAGAAAACCTGGTTAAATAAGATTTGATAACTTATCTATGTGCTTGATGTTTTGAAAACACTTAGCCATGAATGTCCATTCTATGTGATTCCTTTGTCACCCTGGTAATTCTTTCACAAAAAGAACATCTTTTAGGCATTTATACTTTTAAATTTATTACTTTTAAATGCAAAACGTAATACTTTTGATGGATGACCTAATAGTTATTGAAATTTCAACCTTTTATGCAAAAGAAAAGAAAAAAAATTATTTTATGTATCTTCAGCTATGTATCAAATATGCTTTCAAAAATATCATTTACAATAAATCTTTTTAGTTTTAGGCGTACATTTGTGCTTATATTTTATAGCAATGACGATATTTATTACAAAATATCTATTACACAGTTAAGTTTTTTAAAATAACTATGTATTCAACTGAGAGGGAAATTTTGAAACAATACTATGGATAGGAAAATAGCTTAGAAGATAAGTGTAAATTTCTTTTTGTAAAAGGATTAAAGCAGATAAGTAATGATGAGTTTGATAGTCATGATGAGCTTGATAAAATGTGACAAAAATAAAAGAAATGTAGAAAAAAATTTTTAAGCTATAAAAAAAAAAGAATTTTTTGTAAATGCAATTGTCACAAAATAAAAAATCAGCAAAAGCAGATGGCTTTTTCACTTTAAATAAGAATCAAGAGCTACTGAGTCAAGTTGATCAATTAACTTATGAAAATAAAACAAATGTGAAGCAAATAAAGAAATCTAAAATCTAGGAATTTAAGTTGGAAGCTGAAATTACAGATTTAAATTTTAAAAACAGGACCCCTAACTTTTATTGTAAAAAAAAAAAAAAAAAAAAAAAAAAAAACTAAAAACAAAAAAAAAAAAAAAAAAAAAAAAAAAAAACTAAAAACAGTTCCTCATGCCAAAAATGCAAGATTGCTAAAATAAATTCGAAAAATAATTCAAATATCAATGATATAAACTAGAACAGTTGCCAAATTAACAAATGTAGATGGTGTCTCTATAAAAATACTCATCTTGGGAAGATGTTAAATGTATCTGGCTACTGTCTTGTAGAAGGCTTCCTAGGCATGGACTTATGGGGTAAACAGATTCTATCTGTTGACCAGCCTTGCACCTATTCTTCATCTATTAGGCTGACGCAAGTGTATTTTCAATACATTGTTTCCTGTTTAGGATGTTAAATGCTGGATCTTTTTGACTCAATACATGGGTTTTGCTTGTGTCTCTGTTTTTATGAATAGGCAACTCATTCTATCATCTCCTAATGAGTGTACAGCTCTAAAACTCATTTTTATGGTTCTGAGACTTGCTGGTAGTCAGGTTTCCGGAACTCTGTGGTACCTCTCTGAGAGGTTGATTCCATCAACAACTGAAAGTATTTGTTGCGCATGGATGGTGTCCCTGTTTGTACTTTTAGTGTGCATTGTCAAGACCACATTTGGTACCATTTGTTACGGCTTAGGATTTATTAATAGTAATGAGGCAATTGCTTGGGCTATTAAACAGTGTACTGAGTACTATCTATGCTTTGAGTCAAATAAAGTAACAATAACAATAAAACACAAAAAACCATTGTCATTTCTAGTATTTGTGGTCTTCAAAGTAACTTTTCTTCTGTTGAAAATCTTCTGATCTCTTGCAAAGTTCAACAGACCTACTTGCTCTTTGTGAGACTAATTTGAGTTCAGCTGTCTCAACTTGTGATCTTAGTGTTGATGGTTATTTTCCTTTAATTCATAAAGACTCCGATAGTCACATGCTTGGCCTGCGCATTTACATTTGTAAGAATTCACCTATTTTTCATGAAACTATGTTTGAATCTACAGACTATTTTTTTTATGTGCTTTCGTTTAGCACCACTTCACTCTATCGCCTTTTGCTTTGTTTTATATTGCTCTCTTCCATCTCAAGACTGCACTCATTTTTAATGTTATTTCTGATCAAATTGACCAAGCCCTCAATCTTTATCCATCAGCCAATATTGTTGTTGTTGTTAACTTTAATGCTCATCACACAGAATGGCTTGGATCTAGTGTCAGTGATTCTGCAGGCGTTAAAGCCCACAACTTTTGTCTTTCTCAATCTCTAACTCAAATAGTCAACTTTCCAACTCCCTTTCCAGACAACCCGAATCATTTACCTTCTCTACTCGCCTTATATTTTGTTTCTGATCCTAGTCAGTGCTCGGTTTCTCCACATTCATCCTTAGGTGCTTCTGATCACAGTTTCATCTCTCTAAAACTTTTATCTCATTCTTCTTCACCATGTGAATCCCACTATCATCGTACCCCTTATAACTACTAACTTATTATAAGCTGACTGGGATTCTTTCTGTGATTTTCTTCGTGATGGCCCAAATTTGCTTCTTACATAACTTCGTGGATTCAGGCTGGCACAGAATCTTTTATTCCCTCTCGATGACTCCAGGTCAAGCCTCACTCTTCTCCATGGTTTTCTTCACATTGCGCTGCTGCAATTTCGAATTGAAACCATTACTTCCATATCTATAAGCAAAACAATTCTCCAGAAAACAGACATCTGTTTATTATTGCTACAAACCATTGTTTTGTAAAAAAGGTTTTGTCTAATGTCAAAGCCCGCTATTCTCAGGTCATGAAATCTTGTATTTCATCACAAAAATTAGGCTTTCATGACATCTGGAGAATCTTTAATAGTATCAATAATAAGGGCAATATGTTATTCCACATCTCTTTTATGGTTCAGACTTTGTCACCTCACCAAAAGACAAAGCTGAATTGTTTGCGAAGAACTTTTCATCAATACCATCTCTTGATTCCACTCTTGATTCCACACGCATTCTACCTGATTTAGCCGTCAAACATGTTGATATATTGCTTGACATTCATATCACTCCAGCTTCTGTATCTAAAGTGATTTCCTGCTTAAACTCTTCTAGAGTTTGTGGTCCGAACAACATACCTGTTATAGTCTTGCAGAAGTGTTCTCCGGAGCTGTTGTCTATACTTTCAAAACTATTTAACAAGTGCTTATCAGAGTCTTGTTTTCCAGCCTGCTGGAAAGCAGCATCTGTTATCCCTATTTTCTATGGATTTTGATCTTCTCGTTCTACAAATGATTTGCTAACAGTAATAACCAATAGGTTTTATCGTGCATTAGATAAAGGCACAGAGGTTAAGGCCAAAAACGCTTTGTAAACATAGACCTATTCCTCCAAGCATTATCACATCTTCGTAATGTTGCTTCTCTTTCTCTTTTCTACAAATATAATGAACACTACTCTAAAGAGCTAGCGTCTCTTGTGCCATCTAATAAAATTCATTCTTATGTTACTCGTCATTCAATTAAGTCTCATCCTTTTTCTGTGACTGTTCCTAAGTGCTCCACTAACTCTTATTCATCAAGATTTTTCCTCAAACTTCAGTTCTTTGGAATTCGCATCCTTCATCTTGCTTTCCTGATTCATATAATTTGTAATCTTTAAAGTCGCCTGTCAATCATTATCTTGCTCTAAAATCTTCATCTTTTCTCTTCCAGTAACTTCCAACATTAGTGGTTGCTTCCAGCATTGTTGGAAGCGAAGATGTTAAAAAATAATAATAATAAAAAAAAATTAATGTTTTTTTAACACTGATTAACCATATATTAAATCCATTGGAAACCATATATTAAATCCGTTGCAAAATTTCATAATTTAATCAATGCTCCTGTAATTTCCCCGTTTAGATAATTTTCCACTTTAGATAATGCACTGCCTCCTCTTTTGCATTTATGTTAGGAATAAAACTGTAAAACTGTATAAACTATTGTTAAAGGAGTGTAAAACTTTAGAAAAAAAAAACTACAAGACAAAAATTTTTGTATCTAGAAATAATAAATATACAACCCTTGGACTTAGGATCAGCCTATGGTGGCAAACACTTTTAGGCCGGCCTAACTGCCGACCTAGAAGTGTTTGCAGTCGGCAAAAAATTGCCGACCTTGTTTTGATGTAAGGTAAGATCTTTGTATCAAACTTATTTGCCGACCTGATACTGACCTCGAAAAGATTGAGGTTGGCAAATTATTGCCGACCTTAATTTTCCTAATTCCGAGGGTTGAATATATGATCCTTGTTTTATAAAAGGGAGTTTTTGATTTACTTCAGTATATATTTGTGTAATATTTTTTCTAATATTTATTTATTGTTCTTTATTATATTTAATTTTGATTTTATATATCAGATTAAAATTCCAAGTTTGATCACATCCAGGGTTGGCATTAAAAAACCCGCTTAAAAAAAACCGCCCAATAAAACCCTGGAAAATCTGGGTTTTATCGGGTTTTTTTAAAGATATTTAATAAGTTTATGAACTATTATAACCAACTTTAACATTATAACTATAATATTATTAACTAAAATAATTATTAGCTATTATTATTAACTAAATTATTATTAACTATTATAACCAACAATAACAGCTATCAGAGCAGGTTTACTATTATTTGAATCATTATTTGGAAATACATTAATACAACTTTTATTCAAATATTTTTATCGATTAAGATTTTTATTACTTCATGTTATTCACCTCCCAAGTTGAATTTAAATGAGTAGTAGTAACCAGAGAAGCCAACTTAACAGTCGAGGAGCCTACCTTGTTGTGGTTACAATCCTCTCTCAACTCTTTAATTCCTAAACACGAATCTTTATAAACAAGCCCGCTGCACAGTGGAACAAGTTTGTTCATTTGAATTTCTAGTTCAAAGTTTAATTGAAACTTAAGTTACTACCTCCCATTCTCTAGCCTTCTTTTTCCCATTTTCTCAATGACATTTTTAATTATATACAATAATACTTTTAAATTTAAAATAAATCAATACATATAGATTAAGCGTGAAATTTTTTTTTTCTATTACAGTTTTAAATTATATTTAAAAATCTTTTTCAAAATAATTTGAAAAATTCTTGTTATAAATAATTATATAACAATATATAAAATATATTTTAAATAAAGTTAAAGTAGAAAATGAAACTAATTTTCAATATCATTAAACAAAAACACAAAAATTTTTTTTACAGGGACAAAATAAAATTAAACCCAAAAAAACCCAAATTTACCTATAATAAATTTACCCATAATAAAACCCACTGGGCCGGGTTTTTTTAAAAAAACCTGGGTTTTTGCCAACCCTGATCACATCCTTGGCAGTATCACGCTCAACTTGTTTCTTTGCACACCACATTGTTCATCTAGGTTTGTGTTTTGGAGTTATAGAGTTAAGGGAGGGTTGTAACCACAACTAAAAAGTAGCCTTTTTGACTGTAGTGACCTTTCATGTCCTAGGTAGGTGAATTCTATTCTTATCTTTAAATGTTCATTCTATTCTACTTCTGCAGTTATGTAAGCATTACAGTTTGTTTCAGTTAAATGGTAAAGTAAATTTAAACCTTGGCTCTGGTTAAAGAATGGAATGGAATCCAGTATCAAATGAACAAAAATAGTTTACTACTAAGAGAAGTTATGAGTGGACCAAATCATTATAAAACAGGTTTTTGTTTATGAGAATAACAACAAATTGTCAAACAATTTAAATTAGCTATATGTATACTTAAACAGACGAAGCTTGTTTTTTTCATAAAAAATTATTTTTGATTCACAAAATTATTCTAATACCAAAAGCTAGAATAATTCAAAAAACTATATGTATACTATGTAAAATATCTCTCTATATATAATATATATATATATACATATATATATATATATATATATATATATATATATACACACAAAAATTTACAAACGTCTCTCTCTATATATAATATATAAAATATACTACATTTTGTTCATATAATATTTTTATTATATTTTTTCTTGAGTTTTTTACTTTTTAATTAACGTTCACCTTATTAAAATTGTATGCACAGAAAGAAAAGTTAAAAGAATGAGGCTTTGTTGCTCAGCATATTTATTCTAAAATCGTGGTTTTGTTTTGTAATGCAGTGAATTTCCTTAGTCTTTTAAAATTTTCAAGAATAAGAACTTCAATAATTAAATATTTAAATTTTTGCGAAAATTACAATTTGCTATACTGACTTGAATAATCCCTGTTTCAATTAATATTAGGCTAAAGTAAAAAAAAATTTTTTTAAGTAACTTATAAAAATTCAGACCAGTTCATTATTTGCCACATTTATTCCAAAATCGGGAAAGTTTTTAGTTGTTTCATTAAATGTCATAAAATAAAACATTTTTTTGGTGTTAATATTCTTTTTACAGAACAAAATTATCTTTAATATTTAAAAAGTAATAAAAATAAAAGTAAAACACCTTTAGTGACTTTTTTAAAAAAATAACAAAAAACCATTAAGCTTGCTTGAAACAGCTGTTTCTCCACACAGCAGTCTTGTTTAACAAGGTTTATAAATTGGTTAAGATGTTTTTGTTATTAACATGCTTATATTACTTTGTGAAATTTCTATAGAAATTTTACAAATCATGTTTCAAAAATGTTTAGAAAATTGACTACATATTACATACTAAAATTTACTATTTACAAAAGTATTAAAAATAAATAAAAGTATAAATTTTTTCATTAGGAGAAATTTTCGAATTTTAAACAAAACTAAAAAAAACCTGCAGCACAAAATGAAGGTTTAAGTCTTTCCATTGCGAAGTGTCATGAATGCAATATGCATTTACACGTACAAATGGCTCATCGTCTAAATATAAAAAACCATAATCAAAAGAATGATTTAACAATTTATTCTGTAATTTATTATTAACTTATTTTGTAACTGATTTTTTTTTTTTTAATTAAATTGTAGTGGTTATTAAAATAAACAGAAAACAAATAAAAAAAACACATATACATACATTTAAATAAATTGCTAAACTTTAAAAATTTTTTTTAGAAATTTGAGCTCTATTGTTCTGGATCCTTAACAAATAAAAACTGGTAAAATTCACATATTAAATTTATTTGACTGCATTAAAGATAAAAACAGGGTCAAAAATTTGGGGAAATTCTTATGGTTCTGACCATGTACTTGCAATATTTACAGATTATTTTAGCATTATTAATAAAAACAAAATCAATTGAATGTTTATAGAAATTCTTATGGTACTGACCATCCAGTTGCAACATTTACAGACTACATTGACAATATAACTAAAAATAAATTGATTGAAAGTTAAAGGTTTTTTTTAAAAATTAAGCTCTCAGCAATAGAAGTAAAGATTTACTTTACATTCTTTGTTTTACTATTACTTTACATTCTTTGTTTTACTATTACTTACTATTATTTGTATTACTATTTAATAAATAGTAGCCCAAAAGTATTTTTTTATCTATTGAAACAGCAGAGAACTTCTAATGCAGTTACATTAAAAATGTAAACATACACTTTTACAAAAGTTGGCATTATCAATCTTTATAAACATTTATTAGGTGTAAATCTGCATGAAGCAAATGTAAATCTAGGAGCTTGTATCACTTTTGATGAATTACTAAAGAAAGGTTCCATCAATTTGAACCAACTTTGAAAGATTTAAAACTTATTCAACATTTGTAACAAAACTTTGAACTGCAACGATTACAACATTTGTCACTACTTTGAACTGCAACGATTACAACATTTGTAACAAAACTTTGAACTGCAACGATTACAACATTTGTCACTACTTTGAACTGCAACGATTACAACATTTGTCACTACTTTGAACTGCAACGATTACAACATTTGTAACAAAACTTTGAACTGCAACGATTACAACATTTGTCACTACTTTGAACTGCAACGATTACAACATTTGTAACAAAACTTTGAACTGCAACGATTACAACATTTGTCACTACTTTGAACTGCAACGATTACAACATTTGTCACTACTTTGAACTGCAACGATTACAACATTTGTCACTACTTTGAACTGCAACGATTACAACATTTGTCACTACTTTGAACTGCAACGATTACAACATTTGTAACAAAACTTTGAACTGCAACGATTACAACATTTGTCACTACTTTGAACTGCAACGATTACAACATTTGTCACTACTTTGAACTGCAACGATTACAACATTTGTCACTACTTTGAACTGCAACGATTACAACATTTGTCACTACTTTGAACTGCAAGGATTACAACATTTGTCACTACTTTGAACTGCAACGATTACAACATTTGTCACTACTTTGAACTGCAACGATTACAACATTTGTCACTACTTTGAACTGCAACGATTACAACATTTGTCACTACTTTGAACTGCAACGATTACAACATTTGTAACAAAACTTTGAACTGCAACGATTACAACATTTGTCACTACTTTGAACTGCAACGATTACAACATTTGTCACTACTTTGAACTGCAACGATTACAACATTTGTCACTACTTTGAACTGCAACGATTACAACATTTGTCACTACTTTGAACTGCAAGGATTACAACATTTGTCACTACTTTGAACTGCAACGATTACAACATTTGTCACTACTTTGAACTGCAAGGATTAAAACATTTGTCACTACTTTGAACTGCAACGATTACAACATTTGTCACTACTTTGAACTGCAACGATTACAACATTTGTCACTACTTTGAACTGCAACGATTACAACATTTGTCACTACTTTGAACTGCAACGATTACAACATTTGTCACTACTTTGAACTGCAAGGATTACAACATTTGTCACTACTTTGAACTGCAACGATTACAACATTTGTCACTACTTTGAACTGCAAGGATTAAAACATTTGTCACTACTTTGAACTGCAAGGATTAAAACATTTGTCACTACTTTGAACTGCAACGATTACAACATTTGTCACTACTTTGAACTGCAACGATTACAACATTTGTCACTACTTTGAACTGCAACGATTACAACATTTGTCACTACTTTGAACTGCAAGGATTACAACATTTGTCACTACTTTGAACTGCAACGATTACAACATTTGTCACTACTTTGAACTGCAAGGATTAAAACATTTGTCACTACTTTGAACTGCAACGATTACAACATTTGTCACTACTTTGAACTGCAACGATTACAACATTTGTCACTACTTTGAACTGCAACGATTACAACATTTGTCACTACTTTGAACTGCAACGATTACAACATTTGTCACTACTTTGAACTGCAAGGATTACAACATTTGTCACTACTTTGAACTGCAACGATTACAACATTTGTCACTACTTTGAACTGCAAGGATTAAAACATTTGTCACTACTTTGAACTGCAAGGATTAAAACATTTGTCACTACTTTGAACTGCAACGATTACAACATTTGTCACTACTTTGAACTGCAAGGATTAGCCCAGACTCCCAGACATCAAAGAGAGAAGAGTTAAAGAATATTTTAAAGCAATCAAAACATGTGTCAGTCCCTATTCTTGTGTCAATAAGCCTTAATGATTTACCTCTCCTTGAGCATTTGAGTTTAAGTTTTCAGAACTTTATGATGCAGTAAAAGCTGTAAAAAGAGTTCAAGAATTTACATGGACAATGGTCAGCTTTAAATATTTAAAAGCTGTTAATTCTGTATACAATTTAATTGAGAAAATGAGACAAGTATCATGACCTACTAGAGAAAATGGTCTAAAGAGAGAGGCCATTGATTCAAATTATCATTAACATAATGCTACACTTTACCAATATATTAAACCTAGGATCTGATTTGTATAATATACTTCTTGAATGCAGGAGTAGAAATAGGTGCCAGACATTAACACCCCTGAACCTACTTTGAAACCTATCTGAATTTATTTTTTTTTAGTCATGGAATGTCAAAAAATTCTTTTTATACTTGAACTATTTTTAATTTTTACTTTGGATAACTGAAAAAAGTCTAAAAATGAGTTGATATTGGTAAGAGACGGTAAAAAAGACAAAAAATGTCTTTTCTCAAACTTTTTTTTATAGTTTGAGAAAAGTCATTTTTTGAGACATCCTAATATGTATGCACTGTGTGTACTTTCTATAGTTTCAGCATTAATTTATTACTAAATTTATGGCAAATAAACTTACCTGGATCACCAAGATCATGAGGAACACACCCAATCACTTTTCTAGGTGCAATTCCACCTTCCATCATTATGGGTCGTTTTTCATCATCTACGTTAAGCACACTGTTACCTATTTTAAAATTTTTTGGTATATCATATATTAAAAAATAACAGTCAACACAATTTAAAATCACAATTATCATCCTCATTATCACTATCATCATCACTATCACTATCATCATCATCATCATCATCATCATCATCATCATCATCATCATCATCATCATCATCATCATCATCATCATCATCATCATCATCATCATCACCATCATCATCATCATCACAGATAATATTCATACATATGTCATACTGCATGCTAATCTGAAGATTAGGCCACAGCAAAGCAAGTGCCCATGATGCATAAAAATGAACATCATATGTATTGTACATTCGATACTCATGACCTATTAATAAAATATTGAAAAAAAACTCAAATACTTTTAAATAATAAAAAAAAAGATTAAAAAAAATTGAAATTAAAAAAAAAAAATTATCATTTTTCATTATTAAGATAATAAAAACATAATAATACCTTCTAGGTATGCAAACCTGCCATAAAGTTTTACTAAATCTGAAATAAAGTTTCCATGCGAGTCTTTTTTTCGTTTTATATCAAGCCATACAGTTCCTCCATCACTGATAAAATATAGTTCATTAAACAAAGCAGATTTAAACCATGCAGGAAGTTCACTGTAAAAATATTTATTAAATAAAAAATGATATCCTGATATGTCTTCAGCTAAATAACTGAAGACAAAATTATAGACTGAATAGTAGTACATTTTAGTTATAGTCTTTATTGAAAAGTAAATAGTAATTCTGTAAATAATAATATGTAACATAATGGAATACAAATAAATAGACCAAGAAGTTGTTATTTTGCTCTTATTCTAAAGTAAACAACCACAGATGGTATTTAAAAAAGGTTCCGCGTACTTTTTACTGAGAGTATTTGTCTTGGTAAGCCAGTATAATTCATTTTTTTTCTGCCTTGGTAAGGAAATACTGATGAGTGATTTTGCAAAATCACTTGTCAAACTGGTTTGTCAAATCTAATAGGATCTGAACCTCTGTTATTTTCATTTAGTTGCTAAACTGATTCAGCAGTGGACAGAGCAACTAGGATACCATAAAGTTGAGAAATTCATTTATACGGTGATGGTTTTAAATAATACTGCAGAGAAAGGACTGAAACTTTTAGAATTTGGTACAACCAAACCAGTGATTCAGAACAAAGAGAATGGTTGCTGTAGGGCATTGAAAATTATGGACAACACTATCCTGTTTTTGGCATAAAAAACTAATGTGTTCTATATGATAAAATAACACTGGATTTAAAAATTTTTTTATTAAAAAATATTTTTAGGGATGCCGCAAGACCCTTACTGGATTTTAATTTCAAAAAAAACATTTTTGACGAGACCAACAAGAAATACCTTTTTCAAAAGCATGTCTTGTTGGGTCTCAAATGAAGTGAAATTTTATAAAAATTTCAAAAATAATAATTATTTTGTAGAACAAATCATTAAATTAGATTTTACTGTATAGCAAATTGAACCTTTTTAACTAAAAGTCAAAAAAATTTTACACATTTTTTTGATTATAATTTTTTTTTTCAATGTTTTTTATAAAATGATTATCTTTGAAATTTTTATATAATTTTGCTTCATTTGAGAACCAACAGGATATACTTAAAAAAATTTTTACTTACTATTAATAGGGACCTATTAAATGTTCAAGAGTATCATATAAAACAAATATCATATAAATTCATACCTATCATTAAGAATTGGATTTTGCCAGCGTTCAATATTATCTTCCCAATAATCTATATTTTGTAATGCATAGCAACATAAGGAAGGTGAAGCGTTTCCATTTGAACCAAAAAAACGTGTATATCGTCTAGAAGAAAAAAATATAAATCATCTAGACTAGAAAACACAAATCATCTAGACTAGAAAACAAATCATCTAGACTAGAAAACAAATCATCTAGACTAGAAAAACACGTATTATCTAGACTAGAAAACATGAATCATAGAGGCTAGGAAAATAGCAATCAAGTTATATTTTACATTTTTTTAAAACTTAAAGATTAAAATAAAAAAAACCTGCAATAACTTAATCCACTATCTGATCCAAAAGTAACAAATGGTTGATCCCATGATAAAACAAATTTCAAATCTTGCTTTGCTCCGGCATGAACAGTTGTTTTAGCAGCTACAGCTGCTGCCAATAATTGCCCAGGATAAGAATAGCAGCTATCACCTATAAAGAAAAAAAAATCATCAATTATTTATTATGATTATTTGTCTCAAAAACAAAAATTTAATAAAAAATCATTTAAAAATTAACCTTAAATCACCTCTTAGATGAAACATTAAATATTTATGTGTTTCTAAATTCTTTATTTAGTTATTAAAAAAATTACATTTATGTTATTATTTGTATTAACACTACCTCTTTTGTTATCTAAAACACCATCATCATTAAGATCTTCCCACAGTTCAGCAGCAGGTGATTGGGCATCAAAAGCAACCTTTGTACTCACTTGAACAACATCTATTGTATTCTAACAGCAAAAATGATGTCAACTACATTAAAATAATTTTTTTTACATTAAAAAGAAATTTGCAATTCAAACTCACATGTATAACTTGCAAAGCTGCGATTGCAAGAGTAAAACGTTTTTTGAGAGCATTATGTTTCATTAAAACACCACGTACATTATGTATTTCACACATTTCATGAAGTAAAAAGTTATTATCAGAATTTGTCATTAAATTGTTACAGCAATTTTCGATTTTTTTTTCAGACACTTTCTGATCGTCTTTAGGTAAATCTACCAAATTTATATCAATATCAACAGCGCTTGAATTTTTACTGTCATTATTATGACATAATTTTTGTGAAGCACAAGTTTTATTCTCAAAAATATGACAAACATCAATCTTTGGCTCAAAATGAGTGACATCATCATCACTGTCAGAAAGAACTACAAAACTATCATCAAAGGAATTTGGGTATTGATTGGCCTGTACTTTAACATTGTCTGATCTTGTGAAACCATTTAATAGATTTTTTATTTTAAAAGAAGCATTACTTTCATCCTTTTGCAAACGTATCTCACTATAAACACCTTTACAAAAGAACTCTTCATTGTTATGACCCCCGACGCAATCTTCATTTGTCCCATCACCATTTTGAAATGTCAGCATAATAGAGACATCAAGATCATGCATTCCAATATTCTCTATTGTCCAAACAAAAACACCAACAGGTAAACTAGTATCCTAAAAAATCAAAAATAATATAACAATACAAAAGTTTTTGGTACTTTTTATTGTGATTGGTTGAAATTTAAAAATTTTCATTGGAATTTGATCAAAAACTACTAGATCAATTCTAAATTTTTTTTTATAATGATGCATACATGATAAATTTTTATTTCAACAAAAAATTAATCTTTAAGACATGCAAATAGCTTAACTTTTTTGTAAAGTACTGGCTATCTCCACCATTTTAAATTGTAAAGTACTGGCTATCTCCACCATTTTAAATTGTAAAGTACTGGCTATCTCCACCATTTTAAATTCTATAACTTTTTGTAAAGTACTGGCTATCTCCACCATTTTAAATTCTATAACTTTTTTTGTAGCAAATTCTTTTATTTTTTCAACACAGCTTACAAATTTGCTCTTTTCATAAGTATTTCATAAACAATTGCTCAGAATTATTCAATTACTTGCTGTTGAGGACAGTTAGGTGGATTAACCATCATATAAGACAATATTGACAATATACTTTTTTGAAATAGTGGATCAGGTCTAGCTTAAATAAAGTTGGTAATTTATGCTGTTTAATTTGCAAAAAAAGCCCTACATTTTTATATCAGAGTTTTCTTTTTTTTAGATGAAATACCATCATCAAACCAAGAGTCTCACATGCCCTTAGTTTAACACCATAACCAAGGACTTTAACATCATGATAAAGCATGTGTTTATACATATATGAATAAACATTTTTTTTTACATCTTCATTTCTAATGAGGCATCAAACAACCACTATTATGGTTGGAAGTTACTGGAAGAGTATAAAGCAAGATAGCAGATAACAGACAACTTAAAAGCTTTCAAGTTATATGAATCAGAAAAATAAGATGAAGGGAGCGAATTCCAAAGAACTGATGTTTGAAGGAAAAAAAAAAAAAACATGTAGATGAATAAGAATTTTTGGAGCACTTAGGAACAGTCACAGAAAAAGAAAGAGACTTAATTGAATGATGAGTAATACGAGAATGAATTTTAGTAGAATCTTAGTACCCTTTATAGTATTTATGCCACTTTAGATGTGACAATTTCTGGGAGATTGATAATAAAAATTTTAAAAAGTATAAGGCCAAGGATAGAACCTTGAGGAACAAACAATTCAGCTTTGCCTTTAGGTGAGGTAATCAAACCTGAACCATGCAAGAGAGTAGGAATAACAGATTTGTCCTTAATATAGACACTGTTAAAGATTCTCCAGAAGTCTCTGGAACCTAATTTTTGAGACGAAATATGAGATTTTGTGACCGGAGAATAGCAGGCTATGGTGTTAGTAAAAACTATTTTAAAATGGTTTCTAGCAATACTTAACAGATATGTTTTCTGGAGAATTGTTTTGCTGATAGATATGGAAGTAATAGTTATGATTGGAAATTGCAGAGGCACAAGAAGAGAAAAACCATGGAGAAGAGTGAGGCTTGACATAAAATCATCGAGAGGTAATAAAAAACTCCATGCCAGCCTGAATCTAAGATGTTATATAAGACCAAGATGTTATAAGATGTTGTAAAATGCCTGTATTAATGACATAAAGTTTATTGGTCATGACATTTAATTGTTTAAAGACTCCAAAAACATTTTGAATAAATAATTATGCAATTATAAAACTTATGGAATTTAGTGCTATTTTTGTATGTTAAACTATACCTTGTAATTGTCTGGAAAAATCGGAGAAACTTGTCGACAAGTTAACTTAATATTATGTTCTGTAATATGATACACAGTCCACGCACGTGGATATAAAGCATGATAATATCCTCTTCCACCATCAAAAGACCATGTCCAGGATTGCAAGCTTTCAACATTTTTTATTGCAACAGGATAATAAGGAGCTAAAACTTGCTATAACAAATATACTGTAAAAATTCTCTATTGAAATTCTTACTTTATTAACTAATATAACAAAATATTGATAATTTTACAATACCTGATAAATTGTTTTTCCACATTTTCTTATGCAAACGGTAAACTATAACATTAAACACTAATTGTAAATTGCGTGTAATATATATATTATATATATATATATATATATATATATATATATATATATATATATATATATATATATATATATATATATATATATATATATATATATATATATATATATATATATACATATAAAAGTCAAAAAGTATTGATTAAAATATGCCATTATTACAATGTTTCATCATTGTTTTAGCAGCATTAGGGGTTGTCCATAAAGTACCTATGCTAAGGGGGAAAGGGGGAGGTCATCAAAAAGCATATGAGAGCGTATGGGGGGAGGGGAGAGGTTTCAATTTAAAAGTACATACATCAATTTTCTAATTTATCACAATTAACCAGCTAATCAATAGAAAAGTTAAAATTCTGACTAAAGATCCTAGTTTGCCAACATAAAAAAATGTATAGGGAGTAGAGGGTATAGTTATAGTATGGTAAAGGAATTAGAAGGTATAGTTTCCCTCAATGCACACACATGCATGGAGGCCCGTAGGATTTTTAATGTTCCAGATAGGACATATCACACATTGTGCTAACTCCAAAATTAAGTATGTTTATACCTATGCGAAATGAAAAAGCTTTGCAAAAAATTATAAAGGCGAAGGCCTGGAAGCAGAAAAGCCCTAAAACGCCCCCCCCCCCCCAAAAAAAAAAGAGGGGGTATAAATTTTGTATGGTTATAACTTTTTTAATTTACAATATTTTTCTATGAAATTTAAAATCTGTCGATAAATTTAAATTTAGTTTTAGAGGGCAAATTATTTGGGCTTTTTTATTCCCAAGCCTCCGCCATCTCAATTTTTCGCAAGGCATCCACATTTGGTATAGTTATACTTAAGTTTTGGAGCTAGTGCAAATTTCACACATTTAGAATAAACATACTTATGTTTGGAGCTTGTGTATGCTCCAAACTTAAGTATACCTATACCAAATGTGTGAAAGTGTCCTATCTAGAACAACAAAAATTTCTGAGGGCGCCCATGCACACATGCCATCCCTTATATACTGGCCCTGAGTAAGGCCTATTTCAGGCAACCTATTTTTGGAGTCGACAAAAAACAGGTTTTAGCAGTGCTGTAGCTAATGGGTCAAAGGCCTCTGAATCTAAAAATTGTAACTAACTAAACTAAAAAAACCGTAACTAAAATTAGTCGACTAACTTTTTGGTTAACTAAAATTACCAGACTAATTTTTAGTTAACTAAAAATAGTCGACTAAGTTTTTACTTAACTCAAAATACCAGACTAACTTTTTAGTCAAACTAAAATTAGTCGACTAACTTTTTAGTCAACTAAAATTACCAGACTAATTTTTAGTTAACTAAAAATAGTCGACTAAGTTTTTACTTAACTCAAAATACCTGACTAACTTTTTAGTCAAACTAAAATTAGTCGACTAACTTTTTAGTTAACTAAAATTAACCGGCTAAATTTTTAGTTAACTAAATTTATCCGACTTTGTTTTTAATCCAACTAAAGAAATTTATAAATATATAATATAAATAATTTGGGTTCATGATATCGTTTCTATTAGAATTTTTGAATAAGTTTGCTAATGCATGTTCATTTTACCACATAAAACCGCAAAAATAAAAAAATATCAAAATAATTTTCTTTAAATTTTCAGTGCTAAAGGTTTAACAAGATAAAAATATTTTTAAATATTTAAAAATATTTCATAAAAAATCCAAAAAGTAAACATGGTAAAACACAAATATCTTTAAAATTGAATAAGCTACCAAGGCCAGCGCAAAGGGGTGAGGGGATGGAATGGTTAGCTTTGTGTGTGACATCCCATCAATGAACCTCATTTAGTAAGCCAATTTGACTCTTTTAGATAAGTAAGTCGGTAAATGTAGATTTTTAGAACAGTCACTTGGTAAATTTAAAAAAACAAGGATTTTTTTTCTTTTTCTAGTCAGCTAAAATTTTAACGGCGCTCTCTACATTTTACTTACTTTTTTGGAACCAAATCAGTAAATGAGAAAAATGTTCTTACACTTTTGGCATTAAAACCAACATGTGTTTCCAATATTGTATTGTATTTCAACAATGATTTTATGTACGCTTGCTACCAGTGAACCAAGTAAACGCCTTTTTTCTGACGCATTAAACACTTTGTATGCAAAGCAAAACAGAATGACAACTGAATTTTTCAAATGTTGATGTTTTTGTATGAAAATTTGGAATTTTTTTTTTAACATCTATCTAATGAAAAAATATAAAAATAAATATAATTAAAAAGTTATTGAATTTTAACTGATAATTGTTTTGACCCGGTTTTACATGTATATTAAAGTGCTTAAAAATTACATATTTCATTTTTCAAGAATTACATATTGCATTTTTCATTTTTTAAACTCAAAAGTTAAGTAATATTTAATATATTTTATAAACTATTCAACAACTTATATTGTGGAAATTGCATTCTAAAATGCAAATACCAATCTTCCTTTTAAATTTTGCAAGTCTCGCCAACGGACGAACAACTATACTCTGAAAGCAATAAATATATTCATAATAACTTATTTAACGAATATTTTTTGGGTTTATGTCAATACTTTCGCCTGCCTAACTGTAGTATTTGTGGGTTATAATAGTCGGGAGAGAAGACGCAACAATAAATGTTCATACGTTGCGTATTGTATTTGTAGTGCTGGTTACGTTAACATTACAATAGAATTGGGGAGGGTTAATAAAGGGAGGGAATTTAATGCACATTTATAATTTTTTATTGAACACAATATTTTTATATCTTCTGTATTTGGAAGAACTAGAATGCTAAATGCTTCTGCTGCATCATTTCTAATTTTTTTTTTTTTAACTGTATTTTTGAATCTACTAAATTTTGTTTTTCTTCTCCGTTGTTTTTATTTTTACTTTTTTTTTTTTTTTTGTTATTGGGGTGGACATCAATTGTTAGGAGAGGTTGATATTTGAAGGGGTGGGGAGGGGGAGTCGTAGATTTGTTATGAAAATTAGAGATTGAATCCATTCCTATAATATGGCAGGGGACAGGGCCGTACTGAACAACGAAGACGTAAGGGAAAGAGGTTGCAAATGAAAAAAGCTTTTTTACCATAAAAATTTCATCAAAGTTGGGCTTTTTTTTTTTTAAGAAGCCAAATTTAAGTTTTAACTGACCAAATCCCAAGTTTTCCAAATTACTGACAAAACCAACAGAATATTGTAAACCTGGAAAGTTGCCCACACCCCTGTCAGTACGACCTTGGCAGGGGAGATTATTCTTGATATGCGATTATTTTTGCACACTACCTATAGGACGCAGTACATAAAAAATATAAGTTAAACGTTCAATAAGCATATTCGTATAAGTCATATTTGATTTAATTGACTAAAGGGCATTATTTGTACATGATTGGGTGTTTATAAACAGTTGCAACAACCTCATAGGCAGTTGTCTCCCAGCAGAAAAAAAATAAAAATAATCAAATTTTGCTTAAAATATTTTTTTTGAATAACAGTTTAATTTGACTGGGCTCTAGGATTCACAATTAGTAAAGTGTTTAATTATGATAAAATAATATCTAATCGCCTTAATAAAGCTTCCTCGTGCATAAAATTTTTATGCTAAAGATTATTTCTTTTTTTAAGCACTAAACCTTGCTTTAGTTGACTAAATTTAGTTACACTAAATATTTAGTCGACTAATCTGAATTAACTAAAAAGTTAGTCAGGTAATTTTAGTTAACTAAAAAGTTAGTCGACTAATTTTAGTTAGACTAAAAATTTAGTTGGGTATTTTTAGTTAGACTAAAACTAAGCTTAACTCCCACCCCTAAAAATTTCAGATTAACTTACAAATTTTTAACTTACATTACACAAATTCAAAATAAAAATGTGTTTTAACTAAGCATCTTTATTTATAACTTTAATTGTAAAAACATAAGATTTAATAACAACACACATATAATAATATAAAATTTCAGTTTTTTTGACAAAACCTTTAGAAAATAATATTTTTATTGTGTATTTTTTAACTTACATTAAATGAAAATTGCAAAAGTTCCTTTGTTATTTTCTTGAAATTTCTTAAATAAAAAAAGTAAAATATTTGACCAACGATAAGTTGAAGCTTCATTTCCAGAGTAAAGTAAATCAGATTTACAATTAATTTCACTGTGAAAATATTTTACAATGATGCACTTTTTATCATATGACATTGGGAAGAATGAAGACTTTTGGAACCATTAAAGTAACTTTATTATTAAAAATACATTTTTAATAAACTTTGATGTGTCTTCTTCAATACTCATCTATCAAAAATTAACAAAAAACAGATTGAAAATTAACTACTTTTTCCATTGAGGAACAGTTGTGTCACACACAGTTGTGCCAGCATCATTGTGGAACACAGCTGTGTCAGCACCATTGTGGAACACAGTTGTGTCACACACAGTTGTGTCAGCACCATTGTGGAACACAGTTGTGTCAGCCCCATTATGGAACACAACTGTGTCAGCACCATTGTGGAACACAGTTGTGTCAGCACCATTGTGGAGCACAATTGTGTCAGCACCATTGTGGAGCACAATTGTGTCAGCACCATTGTGAAACACAGTTGTGTCAGCACCATTGTGGAACAAATTTGTGTCAGCACCATTGTGGAACACAATTGTGTCAGCACCATTGTGGAACACAGTTGTGTCAGCACCATTGTCATATTCAGCTCACTTTATTAAAATCCTGATTTTCTTTTTCAGACAAAAAATGAAAAAAAAATGAATATTAAAAACATCAGATATAGGAGAGACTAGGTTTAATAAAAAAATTTATTTTATTTTTTTGCTTCCATCTTTTTCTAAGAATAAACTTTTTTATTTTTTTGATCATAGAAAAAAGATTTGGCTAAATTTTTTTGTATAATTTTAAACCATTAAGATTTTACCTCATTTTCTTTCATTTATATTTTGAACACAGCATTTTGTAAATGCTATTAAAACTTTCTGAGTTATTAAGATACTTCAAGAAGACCTAACAGTTCTAACATCTAACAGTTATGTCAATACTTTTAAAATTTTCAACCAAGTTGCATGCAAATAATTATAATGCAAAGCCCGTGCCCGTTCATGTAAGTTTTCTGTTGATGCTCACTAGCTTAATTCTATCAAAGCATTTGACAAGTTCCTCACAAAAGCTTACTAAAAAGCTTAAATTTATGAGATATAGGGTAAAGTTTTAAAATGAATTATTCTCTTTCTTTCTAACAGAAATGAATAATCCATTTTTGTATTTATGAACATAAATATTTTTTAAATCACCCCAATATGCTAAATTACCCTAAAACTTTAAATAAAAAAATTTTAAAATTTAATTTAAAAGTTTACTCAAACAATAAAGAAACAATTTTATTTAAAAAACATTTTTTTAAATATAAATTATTTCTTTTATTTGCACAATTTGAGAAAATTTTTCTCATGTGTAATAAGTTAACATTTTATTTCATAAATTGTTTTGCAAATAAAAAATTACTTCCTAATTATCTTGACATTTGTTTTACTTAAATATTTCATAAATAGTTTTGCAAATGATAAATTACTTCCTAGTTACCTTGACATTTTTTTTACTTAAATATTTCATAAATAGTTTTGCAAATAATAAATTACTTCCTAATTATCTTGACATTTATTTTACTTAAATAATTTAGTAATTGCAGTTTTTGAATATCAATAATTTTGTAATCATAAATAAAGATGATGAAAAACTTTTTATTGATACTAACATAAATAGATTTGTACGCTTTTCAATAAAAAATTTGAATGTTAAAAAAACTCAATTTTTGAAAAAATGGACTTGGTGCTTTTTAGATAAACGCTTTTTAATTTGGATTCCATTTCCTTAAAATAAACGACTTTATAAGGAAATGCAAACAATAATCAAATATTTTACAAATATTTATTGATAACACTTCACATTATTAAAATGCAAAATTTATTTGACTGAAAACCACAACAAAAGCTGAACTTTTCAATGGTATTTTGACTTCTTTTAATTATTGCCAGGCTATTTTTTAAAAGGTTTATTATCTTGTTGATGGGAACAGTGATGCAACAGCTTTTAAACATCAACTAAAATTTTTAACTTTTTTTTTTTGAAAAGCAATAGCAAATTCACGTTATAATGTAGAATTTTAATAAAACCCTAGTCCTATAACTTTATTTCATATCGATAATTAATCTTTTTTAAGTTCAGTGACGCAATCTATTTTATGCAGACCTGTATGTGACAAAAAAGCACTTGAATTATTTTCAGAGCCCAAAATTTTTTTTTACTCACGCCTTATATACTTAATCTCAAAATTTTTTTTAAACAAAAACATGATACATTTTGTTAAAAAAGTTTTAAAAATTTGCCCCCAAATTTTACTCCCTTTTTCAAATAATAAAAAGAGGAAACAACTGTTAACATTTTGCAAATTTATCTAATTGATTCAAATATTTTCTAAATTTATTTTAAAAGAAATTTCAAGATGTTTAAACTAAAATTAAAATAGGAAAGGAAAATCTTTTTTGGAATAAGCTTTGGAAACAAATATTTGTTACAGTTCTGACAAAGACGTTACTTTAAGAAAATCTTGAGTAGTTAGAATCAAAATGAGTCATATATTTTTTTATTTTTTTTGGATAATAATAATTTCTTTTGATAATAAAATAATACTTAAAAAACTTTTAATTTAATCCACAATAATAAAAAACAAAACAAAAAAAAAGTGCTTTTGAACTGGAATTCATTTAAAAAAAAAACTTATAAACTGTTACCTGATTAACATCCACAGTATCATAAGTGTATATTCCAGGTCTTAGTTGCCACCTGTTAAAATCACCTTTCCATCCCCTACCAATAGAACCAGCTCCAATACCTCCCAAAGGTACACCTAGAAAAATTAAAACAAAACTATTTCTATATTGAAAAAAATAATTTTTTTATTACCAAAATTTTAACATTTTAAAATTTTTGAAAAAATAAATTGACAATATTTAGTTTCATATCCTTTATAAAAAGTTTTACAAATAAAATATAAACAATTATAAAACATAAACTCAAATAAAAATTTATTATTATTTAAGTTAATAATTATATCATATAAAACATAATTATAAGTATCAAAACAAGTTACTAAAATCTTTCAATCATTAAAAGATTCAAACATTTAAAACCTCCAAAACATGTATCAAAACATATTTCAAAACCTTTTTCAAAACAAGTTGTCAAATCTTTTTACCATTAAAAGCTTTGTCAAAAACTTTTTAAGTTTTTCAAGACAATGAAGTAGAAGGGGAATTAATTGAAATTTTCCATCATCAACTGTGTTTCCAGCTTTAAACTCTGTTTCCAGTGCTAATCTGTAAACATTGACATGTACAAACTAGACATGTGTATTTTAAATTTGACATTTTAAATTAACCTTTTCTAATTTTGCATAAATAATTACTCAATTCAAATTCATCTTTGTTTAGAATTTACTACATACATTTATCTTAGAACTTTTTTACTTCAAAGATTTAAACGCCTTAAAAATCTTAGCAGCAAATTTAAGATTTAAGCAGTAGTTCTAAAACAAATCTGCTTTTTTATGAACCAATAAATTTTGAATTAAAATTCAAATTTCTTTGAAACTTTTATAAATAATCAAATTATAGAACTTAGTATAAAAAAAAAAAAAAAAAAAAATTATTCTAAAATTTGTAAACAATGAATTAAAAATACAAAATCTTCTTTTAACTTGACTAACATTTTTTTCCGACATTTTTTAGAAGCTGTGCAGTAGAAAGTAATAAAGTTTTTTAAAAAATGTCTAAAAATTTTTTTCTGACATTTTTTAGAAGCTGTACAGTGGAAAGTAAAAACAAGATGTTTACCTTGTTTGTTACTTAATTCAATAAAAAAGTTAATACTTCAAGAATGAATTATTTTTTACAAATAATGTAATAATTCAATAGTGCCATCAGTATTTCCAGCCTGATGTTAAACCAATCCTATAATTATATAGGATTGCTTTAGCAAGTAAAGCGCTTTAGTTTTGATAAAGACAACTTGAAAGGAAAATTATGATACAAAACCCTTTATTTAATTGTGGAATAGGAGAAGCTCATAAACCTTGGTAATTTTCCTAGTGGTAATTTCATAATAAAAACACTATTGATCTGCAAAACAGGTTAACACCATGAAGATTGTTTTGTGGTAAAAAATTGATTTTCCATATTGTCATATTTAAATAAAATGCATTATAGAAACTTGTCTAAACCATACAAGTGAGGAACTATTACCAGTGACTATTAATGATACTTATTCTAGATAAGATGAAATTAAGATACTGTCGATAAAATTAGGATTCTGTATCTAGATAGAACAATAGATCCATTCGGATTTTTTTTGGTTTTTTGAAATTTTGAAATTTGAGTAAAATCGAGAAACTTCAACAAAACTCTGACAAAGTTTTGGGAAAAAATCATTTTTTTACTGCTAAAATAATAAAGTTCTTCTTTTTTTCTTTGTTGTTTTTACAATTATTTTAAGTTATTGTTTTGAAAATGAAAGTGCTCTCTGTAGAAAATTTTTCAATGATAGCCTAATATGATGTCACATTTGGCAGAAAATTTTATAATAATATAATTTAATTTTAAAAACACACAAAAATTAAAAATAAAAATATTAAGTTAATTTATCTAATTAAGTATAATTACATTAGTTAATTCAAAGCTAAGTTATTAAATTTAAATAAATTAAAAACAAATATCTAAAGATTAACAGGTGACGAATGACATAGCAATAGAGGTAGAAGATACTAAATATATAGTTGTGGTGAGCGTTTAAATAGATTTAAACGCTCACCACAACTTTACGTATTGGTTAAGAAAGGTAATATTGCCATCTCCATAATCTGCTAAAACATTTGAGCGTTTTCTATAATGAAAAAGTTGAAAGAATTTGGATTAGATAGTCAATATATTGCAATTAAAACAACTGATGGCTGTAAGTGGATGCTGAAATGCTGAAGGAGGTTAATCTCTGATTGTAAAAACATTATATTGATATCCGATTTAAAAAAAAAATAAAAACCTTACATTTTTTCACGCTTTGAAAAAAGATATTCAAATTTCAAAGTTGCAAAATAAATTGATCAAATATTTGCAAGAAAAGAAAATAGTCACCAAGCAAAATTAGATAGTCATGCTTAAAAAGGCAAATAATCAACATCCTTTTTGCCAAAATTTAAGAAGCTCTGAATCAATAGCTCTGAATCAACAGAAAAATCAAAAGCTGAATAAAAAAAATCAATTAAAAGTATATGAAACAACTGGTGTAAAATCTAAAGCAATTTTGAAATTTAAACTAACCGTCCACAGAGTTTAAGCAATATATTAAATAAAACCTGTTCTTGAAAGAATCGTGATATAAAAAACAAAATTTAAGTAATAAAAAATAATAAAATGTAAATTTTAAAAAAAATTCATAATGATTTATAAATTGAAATATATAATAATAATAATAATAAAAACAATATTTAGTTATCAATTTTTAGTTATACCAATGTTTAGTTATCACGATAGCTTAATTTGTTAATTTATAATAAAGATAGTTTAATTTGTTATTTTATTTTATAAAACTCCGATTCTTTCTTAACTCAGATGTAATTTTTTCTTGATTTCTCTCGACTCTGTTTTTTTCTCGATTTTGAATACTTTGAGATTTAGGATTGAAATGTTAATATCTTGCCTGGGACATAAAAATAAAAAATGTAATGCATTACAGCCTCAGAGGGAACTTGTCATTAAGTAATCAAGAGTAACCCTTAGCATTGCAAACTGATGTTGCCCACACTTGTAAAATGTTTTTATTTGTTACACAGTGTTCTAATGTCAATAAATATTTTGAAACTATTATCTACTAGACAATAAGTTTGAAAAAAAAGTTCTTTAGACTTCCAAACTTCTTTTTTTTTTTGTTTTTGATTGTTGTTTTTTTTGTTCTGTTTTTTACCTAGTTCTTATTTCTCCTTTATTTCTTTTTTTTTTCCTTTTTTTTGCTAGAATTTTTTTTTTGCTAGTATTTTGATCTATTAACTTAATAATATTACAATCCTAGTTTAATTAGGTAACATATAAATATTTTGATATTTTTTTATATACCGTTACTCCTAATTATGAATATTTTGAAATAAAAAATAAATAACTCGCTTATTATAACAAATTTTGAAAAAAAAACAACACTAAAATATGCTCAACAAGACGAATCAAATAATATAAAAACTTTATTATTTAATTTCACATTTTACAAAATTTTATTTTTTAAAAACTTGTTTTTATCTGGAATTAGGTTACTGTAAACCTTATTACAGATAAGGGGTGTTTGTTTTTTTTTAGATTATTGTGTATCCTAGTTTTTTCATAATTGTTGTTTAAATTAAAAATAGATTTTGCAAAAAAATATTTTTGCACTAATACGCAAAAAAATTTTTTTAGCACAAACACGCAAAAAAATTAGTTTTTTTTTTTTACATAAATTATGCAAAATCTTTTCTTAATTTAAACAACAATTATGTAAAAAACCAGGAACACAACAATCTAAAAAAAAATTTGGACAATTATGATCACATTAAGTAAAAACACTTTACAAAATACTGAGATTTACCTTGAGCTCAAAGCCAAATAATTCAGGAACTATTTTGGGCATTTTTTGGGGTATTTTGCCGCTTGAGGACAAGGTAAATGTCAATATTTTTGGAATTGTATTTTTTTTTTATTTGCTCCAAGTTTGGCTTTATGTGTATTTGCGTTTTTTTTATTTTATTTTTTTGAACACCCCTATTACAGATGCATACAAAATAGAAAAAACATACACATAAAATTAATAACAAATTAATTTAGTGTGTTTATATGTATTCTTGAGTGCCTTATATTAATTTTTATGTCTCATGCAAATAAACTTGAAGGGTTTAAAATGCTCTTTCTTGATGGTCATGCTTTACATATTAAAGTTTGAAAAGTAGCCTTTTGAAAATAATATTATACTTCGGCACTTGCCCACCAAATTTTAGTGTTTTTTTTTTTTTCATTATAATAAGTGAGTTATTTAATTTTGTTTATAAAGTAATCGTTTATTATTAATATAAAAAGTTATTATTATTCTAATAATCACTTTTTTGATTGCAACAAAACTATCAAAACAGTTTTAATTTGTAAAAACTACTTCAATATTTTTTTAACAAATTTATTTTCCACAAGACTGAAACCAACCTTTGAGTAAAAAGTTACTAAAAGCAAAGAAGATTTAATTCTTTAAGTAAGAAGTTACTAGAAGCAAAGACAATTTAATTCTTTGAGTAAGAAGTTACTAGAAGCAAAGACAATTTAATTCTTTGAGTAAGAAGTTACTAGAAGCAAAGAAGATTTAATTCTTTAACAGAGTTCCCACTATTAAAACTAAGGCTAAAATTAAGGATTTTAAGGAGATTTAAGGAGATATTTTCCTAATATTTAAGAAGATTTGGTCGCTAACGACGTTTTTTTGAAAGAAAAAGTAAGGATAAATAAGGATAAAACAATTATATTAAAAACATAATCTTATTTTTTTCAATAAATTTTAAATATAAACAGAGAAATTATTATTACTTTATAAATATATATATATATATATATATATATATATATATATATATATATATATATATATATATATATATATATATATATATATTACATATATATATACATATATATATATATATATATATATACATATATATATATATATATATATATATATATATATATATATATATATATATATATATATATATATATATATATATATATATTATATATATATATATATATAATAACAAAAAAAGGTTTGAAAACTATCAAAAATCTATATATTATCTTCTTTAATTAACAAATATAATCCATTCACTTTAAAGTTTTTTTCTGGATGAATAAAAAAAAAAAAGGAGATATTAAGGAGAGCAATCAAATTTTAATTTTTTTTAAGGTTATTTAAGGACATTTAAGGAGGTTTTTTATTTTTTAAGGATATTTAAGGTTTTTAAGGAGGTGTGGGAACCCTGTTTAAGTAAGCACTAACTAGAAGCAAAGCAGAGTGCTAAATTACAAGAAAATAGTCCACAAAAGACTTAAAAATAGTAAATTTTATAATTCAGCATTGCAAATAGTTAAATAGTAAAAACTCGAAACTTATTAATAAAAAATTATAATTTACAATTATATAGTAAGTTTTGAAAAGCATTTTTATCAATGTAAATAAACTTTTTTTTTACAGAAAAAAAGACTTTTTTAACTTAATAAATAAAAAAAAAATAATAGTAATATAAAATAAGCAATAATTGTACAAGTTGAGATTCAATAAACACCTTAAATCTTGAATTAAACATATATCAATATTTTAGTATTTGTTTTTAGTTATGCTAAATATTATATTTGTTAGTGTTATTTATGTGATGATGCCAAACAAAATCCTCAATATGTTAAAACAAATTTTGTTAATAAAAGTTTTTTTAAATATTGTTGGTTTAACATATATAATTTGATGAACTACAAAATTTAGGCTAATTAGATTTATACAAGAAAAAAAGTTCAACTCATACTTTATATTTGTTAAGACTATTTGTAAAAACAAAAGTTATAATAGCCAATTTTATTTGGAATTTTAGAACTTTAGAATTATTAGCTAATATTTTATCTAAATTCTTATATCAATTTTTCTTAATAATCTTTTTTCAAAGAAAAATATAACACACCACATAACTTTTGAAAGAATATAATACATTATATTTAGAAAGAACATATTACCATATATTTGCTTGCAAGCAGAAACAGCATAAGGATCAATAAATGGCAATTTTCCTTTTTTCTTGACTTTTCGAGTAAACTTCATGTAT